GTATTGACTTTGTCCAGAGAAGTCTTGAACCCGTCAAAGTCATTCATTAGGGTTGCAATCAACTTCTTTAAGACCTGTTAATATTTATATTTGGACCTCTTCCCATAAAATATTAATGCTCTCAATGCTATCTAGAATGGTGAACCCTTTCTAGAAAGTTTTCAAGTTACATTGCCCAGATCCATTAGATGAATTATTATCTGAGGCAGCTAAAACCTTACAAAATGTATTCCTTAATAAGATGACTTGAAAATCAGAATTACTCCTTGAACCATGGACTTCAGAGTCAATGTTGTATTATCAGGTATGAAAACATTAATATTCTGTATATCTCCATTAGAGCTCTTATTTTTTGAGCAGTAGATCTCAACTACGGGCTAAAAATATTCAGTAAACCATGCTGTAAAGAGATTTGCAGTTATTCAGGATTTCTTCTTCCCTTTATAGAGCACAGGCAGAGTATATTTAGTGCATTCTGGAGGGCCATATGATATTCAGAATGGTAAGTTAGCACTGGCTTCAACTTAAAATCACCAGCTGCATTAGACCCTAACAAGAGAGTCAACCTGTCCTTTGAAATTTTGAAGCCAAGCATTGACTTCTCCTCTCTAGCTATTAAAATTTTGGATGGCATATTCTTCTAATAGAAAGCTTTTTTTTTGGTTTACATTGAAAATTGATTATTTAATGATCTTAGCCATATCTTCTGAATAGCTTGCTACAGATTACTTTGCAACTTTGTTATGAAGATGGCTTCTTTCCTTAAACCTCATGAACTAATCTCTACTATCTTCACACTTTTCTGCAGCTTCCTCCTCATTGGGTCTTTATAGATTTAAATAGAGTTGGGGCCTTGCCCTGGATTATGCTTTGGCTTAAAAGGAATGTTGTGACTGATTTGACGTTCTATCTAAATATCTAAAACTTTCTCCATATCAGCAATAAGGCTGTTTTGCTTTCTTTCACATGTGTATTTGCTGCAGTAGTACTTATAATTTTCCTCATGAACTTTCCTTTGCGTTTACAACTTGGCTAACTGGTGCCAGAAGCCTAGCTTTTGGCATGTCCTGGCTTTTGATATGTCTTCCCCAATAAGCTTAATAATTTCAGGCTTTTGATTGAAAATTAGAGACTTGTAATCTTCTTTTCACTTGAACACTTAGAAGCCATTGTAAGGTTCTTAATTAGCCCAATTTCAGTATTTGTATGTTTTAGGGAACAGGGAGGCCCAAGGAAAGAAAGAGAGTTAGGGAAACAGCTTGTTGGTGGAGAAGTCAGAATACACAACATTCATTAATTTAGATTGCCATTTTATATGGGCACAGTTTGTGTTGCCCCAAAATGATTACAACAGTAACATCAAAGATTACTAATCACAGACCACCATAGCAGATACAATAATCATGACATTTGAAATATTATGAAAATTACCAAAATGTAATAGAGACATGAAGTGAGCACATGTTGTGGGAAAAATTATGTTGATAGACCTGCACAATGCCCAATCGTCACAAACCTTCAATATGTTTATATATATATACACACACACACACACACATATACATATATATATGTATATGTGTGTGTGTGTGTGTGTGTGTGTATGTGTGTGTGTCTGTGAAGCGCAGTAAAATGAGATGTACCTATAAAGTTGGTGTGTGAGTGTCAGGGAAGAGGAGAATAGAAAGAAGCCCAAAATAAATTTTGTCTAAGCCAAATCTTGGTCAAGTGTGCCACCTAGAGGTTGCACTGATAGAATTCCTTTGAGTATTTTTTATTTTTTAGGAGGCAAGATGCATTTATGTGGAGAATTATTTTTAAGTTTTTATTTGAAAAAAACATCTTTAGATATTTCCATATGTAACACTATCAACAAATAACTATTTCCTCACTATTTATTATAATTATAAAACTGACAATGTTAAAAGTTGTTTCCCTTTCCATCAAGGAATTGAACATTTCATAATTGTTTTAAAATACATGTACTAATGATTAAAACTCATTGTCATGAGTTTTATGGGTTGTAATATATATTCATATGCTTATGTTGTAATAAAAGAGAAAACAGACGTGCATAGGTATGTATACATTCTCACCTCTGGAGTTTAAAAATGATAGAAAAATTAATAGAGGCATGATAAAGAAATCTATATCACATGAGAGGTGATAAATTTATATTTTCTCATTTCTAACTATTAAAAAATATGCTTTGCCTTTGTCATCCATTGGTTTGGAAAACTTTTATCGCACTGGCTCATTAATATTTGAACAGTTCTCCATGAAAAATGATGAACGATTTGCTTCATGGCAGGCTGTACAGATGGTCAATTTAATCTGCATCCTTGAGACTTCTCATGACTAAATTTTGACATCATGTCATTAAACATTTGTGTATTATTTATGTCATATTCTAGAAAACAAATATAGCTACGTTCTTGCTATCTCTTGCCATCTATCAGTTTTATTGATAGGATTTATCTACCTAGACACTATACCTTTCACAAAGGAACATGTATCCAAATATATACCTCACTTTTGTCTCCTCAGAGACCCATACGTTTTTGTCCTCAAGTGCAATAATGACATGGTTATGAACAAATGTGTGGCAGGTATGGAGACAAATGTTTACATGACTTGGATTCTCTAACCTTGTTCAGAGATGTCTTTGCTGATGATTGTGTGTGTTTGTATATGTGCATGTGTGTGTGTGATACCTAAGCCTTGTGTACACTGAAATTGAAAAAGGGAAATCAAGTGTTGGCTATTTTCAAACACTACTGCACAATGTATCATTGTATTGTAAATGGTTGCAGCTTTGAACCTAGAAGTTGACCCTGTATATTCCTTGAATTTGTAGCTATGATGTTTACACTCTTGATGAGTTATTATTATACTACCATGGGTAAATATAAAGATCAGAATCTTAAAATTTATTTTGACATTAAGCTATTAAGTACAGTGTCTGATGGCTTTTTGAAGGGCTAGGTAATTACCTTGCACATTAACTTGAGTCCTCCAATTCTCTGTCATCTGTAATAATGAATTCCCACCTGAATTGATTGGGGCTTCCCACAAATGTTTAGAATGGGCTGCTGTTAGCGGAGTATGTCCAGTTTGAAATTATCCCTGCGCCAGAGTTAGAGGATTTCAAGGTTTAGGGCACTAACAGTAGCTGAGAAATATAAGCAGAAAGGATGGGAAAATGATTCTTGTGAAGTGGACAAGGAAATTTTCCTGAAAGGACAGAGCCCAGGAAGCAATAGCAGGTCCTATTTTCTTCTGTGGTGTAACTATTGAAAGAAGTGGTCCTTCAGGAAACCATACATTAGTTAGGATCAGGCTCCTTTTTATTCCTTATCAACCTGTAATCTTTTGATCGTTGCCTGTTTTTCACCAGTGAAGAAATAGTAATCCACACTAGCTTATCTCTCCTAATCACAGACTCACAGAGCTAGGGCTCTCTGAGCTTTTAATTCCTTCTTAGAGGCCTAACAGAGTGGAAAGTAAACAAAGACCGAATTTGCAACCTTCAACGTAGCTAATTTCCTCTGATGTCAGAATACTTAAACAGGCAGGACCTGGGAATTATTTGATCAAACCTGCTTTTAATCTAATGCATGCAGAAGGGCTGTGTCTGGAAGGCTCTGCAAAATGACAAGGGTCCCAAGGGAGCTTTATGGAAGGTTTCCTCTTTCAGAAACAGTAGCTTCCTCATTTTGAACTCTTGAGTAGCTGTGTTGGAGTAAATTCATAAAAAGTAGTTTTCCTGCTTTTGAAATTTTATTTTATTTGGCTGAAAATTGTTGATGAGATAATAGTTTTCTTTGGCTTTCCATTTGCTGAGTTTTTGATGGCTAAATGCCTTGATACTATTTTACCTTTACTATGAAATGAATTAATAATAAAATATTATTATCGGGTAAATACGGGAGAAGGAGAAGGGTAAAGCATTATGTATCTGACTTCACACACATTCTTCTATTACTATTGGTAGAAGAAAGTGAAAACACAAAAGACAAAAGATGCAAACCCATGTGGTTCTTTCTTTAGATTCTGACAGGCATCTTGCTACAGTAAGAGTTAAGAAAAACTGGAGTCAATGAAATTTTAAATGAAGAATTTACTAATTCTGAGATATCCAGACAGCGTTACTGACTCAGTTTGGCCTTTAATTTGACTCACAACTGCCTGAATACTTAGAATTAGCATAGTTTTGACAGAGAGAAGTAGACGAAGGGACCGAACTCTATACCTGAAATAAAATTTTAATGTTAAGATTATTTTTGTACAGTTGTATTTATGTAATTAGGTAGTATTGGAAATACTCATTAAATACTAATTCAGTTTTAAAGACTATTAAAAGACAATTTGTCACAGAACATCAATATTGCTCAAAATTTTTACTGAGAATAGATTTGAGTTAAAAACAACATTTAAGGAAGTGTTTCAATGAGTTTTTTTTTTTTTTTTTTTGACAAGTAAACATTGCTGCTCTGATGTTTTCACATCTGATCTCAAACACAGCTCCCCACACAAAGTAATTCAGAAGCCATGGCTTAAAAAAGGATCATAAACTCTGATGCTTTGTGTAAATGCGTACTAAGAATAACATGCCACTAGATCTAGCATTTGACTCCTTGGGTGACAATGAATATCAATGCCTGTTATTTGTCATTCTGAAACCTGCCGGGTGATGATTCTTTTTATTGGTTCATCGTTCCAAACATATTTCATCGCACCATGTGCACAGGAGTTCTTTAGGCGGGTTTGTCAGAGCTGGGTGTCGCCTGGCTGTCCCCTCTCCCCTTTGCTCGCTCCCCTTCTCGCCCTGGTACTCTCACCTCCCTCTGCCTCCAGCCCCCTCTCGCTCCTTTGGGCTCACGCCCCCCTCCTCCCCCTCCAGCTGGCGGGGGCTGCGCTGCCTCCCAGACCTAGCAGACCTGCTCAGTCAGCTGAGGCTCCCTGAGGACAGCTGCCTCCGGAGCCGCGGGGACCTGCCATTCTGCGCGGGATGGCAGCGGCAGCAGCATCCCCGCCAGCGGCAGCGGCGGCAGCGGCCACCGCCACCTCCTCGGACGCTATTGTTCCCTGGTGTTAGACGCGCTCTCCCTCCTTCTCATCTGAAGCGAACAATAGCAGGAAAGAGCTTTGCTTTCTGTACTCTTTGGGAAGACGTTCCAAGAGCGGAGAAAAATTCCCTGCCGAGCGTGCTGCGGCTCTGGACCCTGGAGTGGCTGCGGGCGGCATGGGGCTGCAAGCCAGGCGCTGGGCGTCCGGGAGCCGGGGCGCTGCGGGGCCGCACCGGGGCGTCCTGCAGCTGCTGCCGCTGCAGCTGCTCCTGCTGCTGCTGCTGCGCCCGGGCGCCGGCGGGGCTGCAGCGCAGGGCGAGGCGGAGGCGCCCACCCTCTATCTGTGGAAGACTGGTAAGTGGGACGGAGTTACCCTTTCCCCATCTTCACATCTGGGGCCACATTAAGGAGCTGATGGCCTTCTGCAGGGACCCCGGTGCTTCTGGATGGCCCGGTTATGCTGGGTTCCTAAGGTAAAAAGTATGATTTCTTAGGAAGCAAATAGGTCATGTCCGATGCAATTATGAAAGAGAAGCAAAACAACTAAGAGGCAACAGTGAGTCGCTGGAATATTTCTCTCGCAGCTCTGCAGTTAATGAGGGCAATGCTGCACTTCCATAATGAAGTGCAATATTTTTAATCTCTGGATTCTCATTCTGCTAGGAGTTTCTCAAACATACTTCTAGCAAAGAACGAGCAAAGAGTTTAGCGTCGGTCTTAATTCTTGAGGCAAGCAATATACTGACTGTTAATGGTATTTGTAGATATAGAGTTGAAATTGTTAACTTTAGCTTTGTGATATGTGGGATACTCAGAAACAAGCCAACTGAGGGCGGTTCCAACAATTAAAGGCAAATGGGGCTCCAGCGAGGCCTCCGGAAAGACTCAAAAAACTCAATCCTTAACTAGCGAATCGGAGGATTTTTAAAGTGTACAACGCTTAGTATGCCTGGGTTCAAACTTTACCTTCCTTCCTTGTGAATTCTTTTGCTTTGTTTTTCAATCATGCAACAAAAGCAGCAACTAACTGTCCATCAGTACCCCCGGGTAAAATGCTTGGAGGTTCTGGCGGGGCTGTGACAGGCAGGAAAACAATACGGAGTGAGGCATTACCAACCCCTTTGCTGCCGGCTGGCTTTCTCTGTCCATGAATAAACATTGAGAATTCTTTAGAAGACAGGAAACTTCACGTGTTCATAGGAGTAAAATGGGAAAATATTATTCTTGTTGCTTAGAGCTAGCGGGTAATTTAAGAGTAACTTGGTCAGGCCAAACAGTAAGAGAAAGTTGTAGTCGAAAGGGAAAGTATGTATTCGTCATGGGGTTTCAGAGAGTGGGTCTCTTGCCCTGCTTCAGCCCATCTCTGCACCACTGCTGAAGACACAGCTCAATCTACTCTCCAGTTGCATCAATATCGATATCTGAAATTTTTTAAAGCGGTGCAACTATCTAGAAATTTAGTGAGGAGATTAAACAGAAATTTATTTAAAGTCAAAGTACATAATTTGTCTTAAAATATTGCATGAAACATGTATACATTTTAAAAAGCAAGATTATTCTGGCTAACACTTAAAGTTTGAAGATCAGTTGATTAATGAGTTCAAATGAAATAAAACTAAATTATTTCAATTTAAAACAAAGAGTTGCAGACCTCCAGTTTAACTTCAGTTGGGGTTTGACAGTATGAAAAGCACATTCATACTGACCAACATTAATCAAATTATAATTTACCATTCAATGGTATCATATAAATGCTTGGGAAGAGCTTCTGAGGTAAATCAGTGTAGGACAAAATAGTACTTGCCTAGTTGAAATTTATGCTAGCAAAGTAAAAAGAGCCAAGCAATAATTCAGATGGAAAAGAGCCTAGCCAACATTCACTGTACAGCATCTGAGGTGCCAATATATGTCATCATAAATGTCATGGTATGAACACAAGCCAATAAACAGCTGAAAATAGTGGAAAGCTCTCAGAAACAATGGTATGGAGACCTTGATTCCAGTGCTAGTCCCAGCTTTTGCTAGCTATAGGAATTTTGGCAGTTCACTTAACTTCTGACTCTTAGTTTTCTCAACTGCATGTAAATTTGATGACACTTTCTTCTGTGTATCTGTAGTGTGTGAAAATCAAATCAGTTATGAGAAAATGATTTGTAAACTTCAAAGCTGTATGCAAATGTAAGCTAGTATGATAAGGATGATAAGGATATTTCTTTAATGATGATTCTTGGTTTGGTTAAGTTCATTCAATTGGAAAGCAAAATAATGAGTTCTTTATTATTTTTTACGAAAGGGAAAGGAGGCTTTAAAATATCTGTAAAGGAGCTGAGAGTAGTTCTCAAAAGAACTAGACAGTATTTAAAGAAAAAGGATATAACATAAATGAAAATTTAGCAGTTACAGAATCATTAAGTGTGTATCACTTGATGAAAATAGAGAAGCAAGAAGGGAATTGAAAGAGAAAAGAGGTGAGGTATTGCATGTTGGAAGTAAAATGCTTGGTGCCACAAAGTGAAAATAGCACTCCAACAAAAGTTTTCTCAGCAAGGCAATTTATTTCTATAGAAGGGTGTGTCTAGTGGATGGAACAATGGCAAGAACACACTGGGACAAGGGAGAGAAAGCAGGTCTTATCCCTAATGCAGTTAGTCCCTACTGCTGTGTCTTCCTCCTATTGGCTAGGGTTGGACTACACAGTCTAAACTGCTTCTGATTGACTGTTTTAGAGAGAGCAGGGGTATGAGCCAGAGTGGTGGAGAGAGTTGTAGGATGAGTAAGGACAAAGCAGGTGACTAAGGATGGCTAAGGACAGAGCAGGTGACAGAGGCTAGGAGGGGGTTTACTGAAATGGGGACAAGAAGGTACAAAGAACGAGGAAGTTAAACTTTAAAATGGAAAACAAGGAACAGGGAAGCTGAACATACTGACATACTGGTTCTTTGAAGAACTCAGAACTCATGGTACTTAATGATTTTCCCCTCTAGAATTTTAAACGAAATTAACAAGCTAAACCTTTAAAGAGGAATTTATTGTATCCTACATCCATAATGTCTATTCCAATACGGTAAGCTTGACAGAAAATTATAGAGAATCAGATTAATAGTGAGATGACCAAATTAAGATGATGACGTGAAAATTATTACCCTGGATGAAGATCTGGGACAGGAACTCAAACTGTTTATATTACTAACATGGTATAGAGTTTTGGTAAAGTCACTAATGACTTTGGTTCTTGGTTTCCTATTTTGTAATATTCAATGAATAGATAAAATGATATCTAAGGGCCTTTTTAACTCCAAAAGTGCTTCATATATATGAATATATATGGTGGCAGATACATAAATTATAAGTACACACATAAATGCATACATACAACAACAATAGGATATATAAAGTTGACCCTTGAACAATGCACAGATTAGAGGTGCTGACCCACATGCTCAGTAGAAAATTTATGTATAACTTTTGACATCTTCAAAACTTAACTACTAATAGCCAACTATTGATCAGAAGCTTTATGGATAACATGGACAGTCAATTAATACATATTCGTAAGTTATACATATTATATACTATATTCTTACAATTAAGCTAGAGACAAAGAGATGACATTTGGAAAATTATGAGGAAGAGACAATATATGTACTATTCATTAAATGGATCTGGATCGTCATAAAGCTCTTTATCTTCATTGTCTTCAGGTTGAATAAGCTGAGGAGGAAGAGGAAGATAGATAAGGGGTTGGTTTTGTTGTCTAAGTAGTAGCAAAGGTAGAAGATAATCTGCATATAAGTGGAACAATCCAGTTCAAACCATGTTGTTCAAGAACCAACTGTACACATGTGTATACATATAATATATACACATATAGTATTATACATTATATATAATTTTTTATGTGTATATATATGCTTTTTTAAGTAAATTCACAACAGAGAGTTATTGAGGACCTAAAATATGTAGTCACTGTGGTAGAGGCTGATTGGGATATTGCCATCCATGCTCTTGAGAAACTCACAATTAACTTGTTAAAAAAATTATTATTCAACTGATTATCAGCTTTAGGAGAAACTCACAATTAAACAACACTGTAAATGCACAATTACAACATGGCATACCATACACACGAATAGAACATTAGAAGAGCAGAGAGGTTATTTGGCTGTTAAAGGAGGTGTGAAGGGTTTCAAAGAGAATTTAATATATGATCTGAGTCTGGAAAGGTGAGTTGGATTTTGACTGAGGAAGGAGTAGAATGTCATTCTAAGCAGAGAAGAAAAAGAAAATTAAAATTAAAAGGCACAACAGCATTCCTAGACCTTGAAAGTCCCAGTGGTATCCTGCAGGTTAAGCCCAGGATGCTGGACAGCAATGAAAAGATTTCATGCCAATCCGGTGAGTTAGGACCAGATTATCAATAAACTTTCAAACTATGGTAAGATATTGGAGTTTAACTTATAAGCAGGTGGTAGCCTCTGGAAACTTCAAGCAGAAGAGTGATATTTTGTTTGTCTAGAATGAAGAGAGATGAATTTAGAAGCTACAAGGCCAGTGACATGAGGGACTGACGGAGAGACAAAGGGGGACAGAGCTACAATCATAAAGGTTATAAAGAAGAGTGAGTAGAAGAGGGTTTGAGGTCACATTGAAGAAGTGTTAGCTTCAGCTTAGGGTGCAGGGGATACAGTGCCTTCCAAGGGAAGTAGGAACTAAGGTCATCAAAGTTTCCATCATGCCTGTAGCCAGTAATGGAGATACAGGGTATGAAAAAGACAGATTTCTTAGTGTAGTGAAAAAGAGTATCAATTTAATTCAAATATACTGAGCTTGAGGTAGCAATGATATATTGAGATTAATATATCTCATGGGAAAATTAGTGCATGGATGATTCAGTTTAGGAGAAGGAGTTAAGCTGAAGGTGTAATCATCGAACATAATAAATGTGTATTTCAAGGTATGGGAGTGGGCAGGATTGTTAAAGGAAGAAAAACATTGAAAAGCCAGGATATTTCACAGAGAATATTGTGATATAAAGGGCCATAGTGGGAGAAAAACTAGAGAAGCAGGCTAGGAAAGTGTGTTCAGAAAAGGTACAGGGCAAATGACTATATATACTAGATGAAGAAGGTTTTCTATAAAGGAGATTGTGGCAAAAAATATTTTAAAAATTTAGAAAGACTAGGATAAGGATTCTAAAATATTTAAGAAAATATGAACTATGAGGACTTGGTAATATTATTCAGTGTCTTGGGAAAGGACATTTTAGGTATGGAGGTAGAGATAAAAAATTGATTGAATAAAAAACAAGATGGTAGAAAAGATAATAGTATGAATAAAGTTGAATAACTAAGTGG